CGGGTAGTTATGAATACGAACACGTCCAGTTGTATATTTTTAAAGCTTAGAGCTGTCTTCATTCACAAAGGCTGAGATCTGACCAGAATTCTTTCCATAAAAGCATGTTGACAGAACCGGAAAAATATGGACATGAAAATAAAAGCGATTAATTCTGGCACGACACCTTTCTCCCCACACCTAACTGCCTGTGCACTGCCCTCCCTCTGCAGATGATCCGGCACTGAACGGTGCCGGCGACAGCCACAGGCAGGGACAGGAACATAGGAAACCATGGAAATATCTGGAATTTCACACACAGCTGAGCTTAGAAATCTCTTATGTCAGAAAATCACTGTGGACCCGGAATTTTTTCTTTTCAAAACTCAGGCTTTTCTTTCCAGGACTAATGCCACAGTGAACGAACACTGGTTTTCTGCTTTACCTGTGCGCTTGGTTCTTCAGGTTTAACGCTCCCGTCTGATGCAGCTCTTCCAGCTGTTTTCGATTCCCAAAATACAGGGCAAGGTCTGTGGCGATGATGGCTTTCCGGATGATCTCCAGTACTTGCTCATATTCGCTGGAGCTCAGATTGGAGAAGACATTGTGCCCTTCCAGCTATGAAAAAGTAAAAAACCAATAAAAAGCACAAGCTCTAATTCTGAGATGATTTCAGTCTTTACTTCACCCGACAGGTTACAACAGCTTTACAGCCCGGTGACAACTGGTGTTGCAAATCCAAATGCTGACAGCCCGAAATGCCCGTTTTTATCTTTCCTTTTTAAACACTGTCATGAAACCTACGTCCAAGCCACTGATTTGGTTTTGGGACTGGTCCTTTGGAAGTCTGAAGGTATTAATAGAGAAAAATGCTAGCTTTTTCTTCTCTGATTTCTAAGCACTACAGACACAGTACTTCCAAGGAGTATTAGCTTGGGAGCTTGGGACACAATCCCGACCCAGAGCACCGCGTTGCCACGCTGGTAAACCCAGTGTCTGATTCACTCCGAAGTACAACTTTGATACTGAGCGACACACAGTATGGATAACGAAATATCCAAGTTGAAGTACTAAAATAATTCTGTTTTCATAGAGCTCCAAATGAAATGTGCCTGAAATGGCTGCATTTACTGATACAATTTTCTCTGTAGAAATCAAGTTAATTACACTATTTTAATGTATATGAACATCTAGGGGAAAAAGCTGCTTTGTTCAACCACGCGTTGACTGACTCATCAACCGAAGACAATGGTTTCCACCATGGAGGCTCTGGCAACGCGCCGCTGCAGTTCCCACTACGCATTACTGCACATTTAATTGACAGTATCCATGTACTGCCATCGCTCACGAAGCTGTACCACATTTTGAAAAGTCAACACTATTCGCTGCCTCTAAGATTTGGAAAGCAGCTTGTCAAAAGTCTTCCTACTGCTGAAACAGAGAAAAAATATGAAAGACTGAGCCAGCCACGTCAAGATGCGCACATTCACAAATAGAAAATATTATTAGAATATATCAAATGCAGATGTGTTTTGACATTTAATTGGCATTTGGGCTGAAGCACATGAAAAGTTTCCCTGACTTTTGTCAAGCATTTACATAATTTGTTCAAAATAAATCCTCTGTGGTACAAATAGGCTTGGTTTTTCTCACCATCCGGAACGTAAACGCCGTTTCCCAATGTTTTTACTTGGCCAAGTAGATTTATTGTGAATAATGAACAGAAAATACACTCCATCTACGTCTCAGTGCTCCCTTGACCGACCCCTAAGTCATAGAACACAATGTTCAAAAAAAAGATCCACATCATTTTAACCCATCACCAACACTTCGGGAGCAGGAAGTGACTACTCCTGGTTTTCATGATTTGGGGTTTTGGGGACACCTTCCTCCCCAGCCTTCCTGGCTAATCCACGAGAACAGGCTCTTTGTCCTAACATCTAAATGATTCTAGACTTCACTCTTCAGGCGTTAGAAGCTGCGCTATCACACAGACTGCGACGGCAGCTTCTGCTCATACTACCAGAAAAGAGCAGATTCTGTCAAGTACCAGCAGAAGCTGCCATCTCCGAGCACGTCACTTCGGATTTGGAGTTACACACGCAACGTACAGCGCCTAAGATCTTCATTCTTTCCCTGCTGAGCTAAGGCTGGTGAATGGAATCCTCTGCGCTCTGAAGGACGGCGTACACCAGAACGGCTGTGGGTGAGCAAAGCAGCTATAAAGCTTCAAACGGTGAAAAATAATGCAGGTTATCAGCATAGAATTAAAACTTACTGAGATAAACCCTCCAGGGTTTGGTGGGTTCGTTGGCTTTTTTTATTTTTCATAGAGTTGCACAATCATTAAGGTTGGAAAAGACCTCTAAGACCACCAAGCCCAACAGCCAACCCAACACCACCACGCCTGCTAAATCATGCCCTGAAGTGCCACATCCACACGTTTTTTGAACCCCTCCAGGGATGGGGACTCCACCACTGCCCCGGGCAGCCTGGTCAAGCCTATTTGTAACAGTCCAGGAGTTAAGTGAGGCTTTTTGATTCGAAGGAAAACCAGCAAGTCCACAAGGCTGCTGGGGTGCACCTCTGCTGCTGATCACCACCCACGGCTGGACCCCCTGCCCAGCCCTGCGCCCCTCGGCCTGTCCTCCCTACGCTGACGGCCAAGGCGAGCAGGCAGCAGGGAGGGGAAAGGGTTCGCTTCCACCCACCACAACATTTCTGCAGGAAAAACGCAAAGAGTGCCGTCATAGATGGCTACACAGTCGTTAGGAAAGACAGGCCAACAAGGCAAGGTGGTGGAGTTGCTCTGTATATGAGGGAGTAACCGGAATGTATCAAGCCCTGCCTGAGGGTGGATGAAGAACGAGTCGAGAGCTTATGGGTAAGAATTAAGCGACAGGATACCTTATAAATGCCTACAAATATCTGAAGGGTGGGTGTCAGGAGGATGGGGCCAAGCTCTTTTCAGTGGTGCCCAGTGACAGGACAAGGGGCAATGGGCACAAACTGAGGCACAGGAAGTTCCGTCTGAAGATGAGGAAGAACTTCTTCCCTCTGAGGGTGACGGAGCACTGGAACAGGCTGCCCAGGGAGGTTGTGGAGTCTCCTTCTCTGGAGATATTCCAGCCCCGCCTGGACAAGGTCCTGTGCAGCCTGCTCTGGGTGACCCTGTTTGGGCAGGGGGTTGGGCTGGGTGACCCCCAGAGGTCCCTTCCAACCCCGACCATTCTGTGATTCTGTGATTCACGCAGCCATCGCAGGACAGAGAAGTGTTAATGACTGAAGAACTTGCTCACTGTGCGCTAACTCACATCAGGAACGGACACTGAAAGCCTGACGCCGCACCACCACCGAAGGACCAGTCACACCCTCCTACGTGGAGGAGCACGCAGAGACAGAGCTTCCATTCTCTGACCAAATGGATACGATACCTAAAACCGTAACCATAAGCTGTGCTTCTGAACACAATTCAGAAAATGTATTGCTCCTACAAGGTGATTAAGTATTTAACATAATAAATATCTTCGCCCTGAAAGACCAGAAAGAAAGAAAAGTTGACAATGAATTTTTTGGCACGGTAGCAAGGTCAGGCTGGGCACTGAGCGTGTGCATGGTGAACCGAAACCATGAGCACGCTATGGACTGACAGTGGTGTCACGGGTGAGAGTTCTCGCCCTTCCAACTCCGCAGGAAAGAAGTCGCCACTGCTGGGAACACCTCGGTGTGTCCGCAGCACTGCTGGGCTTCCCGCAGTTCTCAGACACGCTACCTGGTACCAGAACCCTCTTTCATCGAACGGTACCTTACTCGGGCTTTTTTCTTTCAAAATATCGAATAACAAAAAAGCACACGACGACAGAACGGAACGAGTTTAAACTTTTCATGCGTGCAAAACGAACATTTCCTCTTCATGCCACACATTTAACGTTCACGGAGTTTATTACAGCAGGTTCTCAAGCTTCTCACGCACACTTTTGCTAGTACTTGAGTTTCTATTCAGAATTTCACGACGGTTGAAGACTCTGTTGAAACACATTATGCCGGGAGTATCTAAGCAAGCGAGAAACTGATTTTTCATTTTCAGAGTTCCCATTCCATATGGTCATGGGAAAACCCTCACTGACCCAGAGGCTAAAAGCTCCAGAGGAAGGCCATAAGCAAAGACCTTCAAATACACCACATTTTTGAGAACACCAAGATTTTGGGGAAGCTATGTTTTTTCACTATTATGGAATGCTTGGGTTGCTAATTGTGGAACCCAGCTTGCTGTAATAAATCTTCCACTCTTCTAGATGAGCACTACAGTCCAGAAATTCAACTAAGCATGCTTCAGAAAATCTACTGGGTAATGACGTGCCTCCTATTTCCACCACGGGACTCTACGGCACGGGAGATGCAGTTTCAGTAACCCTACCTGCAGGATGGACACCGTCTGCGAGAAGTGGTGCTGCTCCATCGTTGACGTGGAGTAGAGAGCAGCCAAGGGGTGATCAAACTTCTGCAGATAGCTGTTGCTGTAACCTCTGTGATCCAGGTCATGACACAGGCACGCAACTAAAAGACCTTTTCGCTACAAAACAATGGAGATAAAGATGAAAAGCACGCTGTATTCCCTGCCCCTAGATGTCACTGTCCTCCCAACAGACTGCAAAAGCTGCCCTGAGCTCACCCTGCCTTCAGGAAGCACGGGAGAAACAGCCTGAACCATTCGAGAAACACAGAAACATGGATATGCTGAATGAAAAGTCTCGGTCCAATTGTAATTCAAACCTTTTATACACTGTGAATTTAAAACAGGTTGTTGGCACGATCACATACTACTGGAAGGGTTCTGCTTCAGGAAGAAATCTGTTTGAAACGCCCAGTGTGGTCATCCACACAATCCTTACTACATTTATTAAAAAAATTTAAAGGAAATAGGTAAGATGTGTGATCTCCTGGTCAGGGCAGCTGCGCCGAAGTCCGACGCTAGACCTGCCTCTGCGACCCTCCTCAGAGACACCGAGCAAGTCTCTGAGGTGAAACTTCTCCCAGGAACTCGCTAGTGAGAGCCACAGAGACGCTGCACAATGGCAATCGCAAAGTAAGGCAGTAACTGAATTTTTTTTTATTTAACTCTTCATATCCTGAAGCAATGGAGTCCCTGAAATCTCTCTTTCAATACACAAAATACGTGAACAATTGCAAGAGTTTTTCAGAGACCCAGGTGTGTTTTGAAAATACATTCATTAACGTTTGTGAAGCAGTCGCTGTCGGCGTGGAGCACCACGACAATGTCTCCACAGACTGAACAGCTTTGTCTTACAGTGGGTTCTGACGAGTGCTCAGTAAACAGGGATAAGAATTTAAGACCAAGCAGAAAAAGAATACTGATTAACCAGCTATTAAGTGAGCAACATCCAACCTGTATGCTGTATTAAGGCACACGATTCTTTGGAAAAACAGCAAACAACGATGTAACTGAAGATTTTATCACAAATATAAAATGTGCAGACTTGAGCTTGTAGCAACGCCAACTGTATTTCTGATTTTGAGACCTTCACTCTTATTTTAAACCCTTCACTTTAATTTTTAATGATGTCTTCTCAATATTGCATCCTGTGAAGTGCATTCTTAAAACGCACGTAATAAAACAGATGATGCAGCAGCACAGGTCCACAGAGGTCCTCAGCAGCAGTGGAACCCTTAGGAACACCACACTCACCTATGTTACTTGAAGTTGTGTGGTAACAGCTGTAGGAAGCCACTATCCCCTGTCCACTACTACCAGGAGGAGCATTGGAACCCTTAGGAACACCACACTCACCTACGTTACTTGAAGTTGTGCGGTAACAGCTGTAGGAAGCTACTATCCCCTGTCCACTACTACCAGGAGGGGCAAGCTGTACAGCCAAGAGCCTTGACAAACTGTCTCTGACAGCAGAAGAAAGAGGAGTCTCAGAATCCTTTGTGCTATGTGTTAGATCTAGTGGGTGTAAGCTCTTCTGCCCCTCCCCACAAGTGTAGTTCCCCTGTTGCATCTGTTACAAACCGTGTTCTTTCCAGTCTTACAATTCTCCTCAGCCTGTCCCTTGCACCAGCTGGGTCTCTTTGCCTGGCTTGTCCCAGTCTCCATGTCCCAGGAAGTCCTTCAGGATTACACAATGACTTATCCCAGTGCTCCTGACCTTGCATCCTTCTTCCCTGCCTGGATCCCAACCCTTTGACCACCACCAGCTGCCGTATCTCTTCGTCTCTGTATCAGAGCCCCCTTCACGGCATTTCATACTCATCTTCCCATCTCTAAGCCTGTCGAGGTTCATGTCATCCTCCCTCACCTGAGAACAGCCCATCCCATCATCATCTACAAAGGTGACGAGGGGACTGGAGCATCTCTCCTACGAGGAGAGGCTGAGGGAGATGGGCTTGTTCAGCCTGAAGAAGAGAAGGCTGAGAGGGGACCTTAGAAATGCCTCTAAATATCTGCAGGGTGGGGGTCAGGAGGACGGGGCCAGACTCTTTCCAGTGGTGCCCAGCGACAGGACAAGGGGCAACGGGCACAAACTG